TGGCATGAATTAAATAGAATAAAGAAATAGTGATTGTTTATATAGTATAACACGACCGGATTACAATGTCACTGACGGGAGTATCGGTTGTAACAGAGTGGGGGCTATTAACTTGAGGAGGGTTGTTGAGGGTTGTGTGGTATCGACCGTCGCTGGCGCCTCGCTGGCGGCGAGGTCCGAGTCGGAATTTGCTAACAGTAACCGCTGTACCCATGATTTATCAAGTATTAATGTCGTATTGAATATTGTATGACATATGTAAATATTGTGGCTATGAGATTCTCTGTTGTTCATCTTTTGTTCTGTACATTTTGTGTTATGGAAAAACATAATTATATATATAGACGGCCTCGGTAAACTAGCGTATTAGTACACTGCTTTCCTCAAGATAGTCGGGGATGGGATTCCTTGTACGGTACAAACATTTGTGAGGAATACGAGGTGCGAGGAAATCTCTTAAATATGAGTATGTATGTTTGTACCAATCTGGGGTGATTTCTATGTATATTGTGTATGTATTTACAAATAAAATTTATTTAAATATTTATATTAGATGTCCAGTACCCATAACACAAGCTCTGCTTAGATTGGGACTAGATGATACTATTATGTTATGTTTATATTTAGTGTCCATACCACTGATATGTCGGTAAATATGAAAAAAACATCCTTTTTGTTTATCCGAAGTATATACAAAAATTATGTTTTTTTTCATAGAAGATTAATGTCGGATGTAACTAATACATTGCTGTGCTTACTATGTAAGCCCAACTATGTATTATTGTAATCAAATTGTTTTTAAATGCAAGTAAACATTTATTAATTTTCAAACTATAATTTTTTCAATTTTTAATTTGACAATTGGTGTCTGCCAGATTCGATCTCACGACTTTAGTGGTATATAAATAAAGGCACTGGTCCACTGAGCTACGACGTGCTTAAGTTAATAATAGACTGGTATGTAAATGATGATTATCGTATATGAACCATCTCTCGTCCACGTACCTACATACCTCTCCCATTTAATGGGACAAGGAACGGTGTTAAAACACCTGCACTCTTCAATTCAGCTTTTGTAATGTAGGTATTCATTCAAGGGTAACAAACACATATAAAAATATAGGCGAATCGAGAACTTTTTACTTTTTGATGTAGGTCTATAAAAGTGACAATATTCATTTGCATTTTCGTTCAGTGTCATGTATTGAGATTTTCCTTAAATTGTCAATATATTACCCATCAAATAATGACTATCAATAGGGTATTTATAAATAAGTTTTTCATTCACGATTAATAAAATATGGGTTTTTTATATTTATTTAATATAAGTATAAAACTATAAACTTAGGCATTACTCTTACGCCGCATTTAGTGATTGCAGTTCTTATATATAAAAAGAATAAAAAAAATAAACGTGAATACGACGTGTATGAATGAGTTATATATGTATATTACGTATTGGTTAAATGTGAATAAAACCTTATTGGGGTATATACATATAATACATATAAATTAATATATATTTTTTATTTTAAATATCAATTCGAATGATATGAATTCAATTCTTTTAATAATAGATAGTAGATAGAGTCATTCAAGCGGAAGGTTAATATATGTAATACACGTACACCCGTGCGAAGCCGGGGCGAGTAGTATATAGAGTATTAAGTAAGGTGCATAAGAATTTCTAGTTATAAATTGTGCTCTATTCCTTCTAAGATAGTAGACAACATACAGGGATACAAAAACCTGTTTTCAATTAATAAAAAAAAAATAACAATAGAAAATAAGAAAGGAGTACAAGTACCACCAAACTACTATAATAACATAAGTAATTGCGGCGCAAAACTAGGTACCTATATATGTTGTCCTTCAAAGCGCGCATGTTCGTTCAATCGTCGGCAATTTTATTAATTCCCCAATTCTAATAGGGTTGTCGGATAAAGGAAATTAGAAGCCTATTCGGAAGCGACATGCGGCCTGTCCGTTTCCGAAGCTCACCTGTCGCACGCAAGGTGGCGGCGGCGGCCGGGGCACGTGCCACTACCACGTGCTTTTTGCACTACCCTAATAGCGCCATTGGGGTATTTATCTACTATGTGATAGAGGACATTCGCCATTGATGTATTCCATTGCGGCACAACTCTCAATTGCGGCTCTTAAGAGCTAGTTAGTGTACACATTTTTTTTGTTTATATATATATAATATTATGTAACCAAGGCGGTTTTATTTAACAAAACCCCTCATCATCACTATCATTATCACGGAACTGCGAGATTAAATCCCCATAGTATACACACATTACATATGCACATATATCTGTACATTATATATGTCTATACATACGTTTAAGTTATTATATAAAATTGTTATAGCTTATTCCATATCTATTGTAATAATTAATTAAAAAATAAATAAGTTTTAACACTATATGTAGTTGTAAAAAAGCAACCGAAATTCAATCTTAATCAAATTAATATAGGAACGACATAGGTGTAATAAAATAAAATAAATGCATATAGTTGAAAAGCACGCAACTATATAAGTAACAAAGTATATAGAGGCAAATTGAGAACCTTTCTATTGTCTGTTGAAAAAATAAGTCATTTGCAGAAAATAATCACTGCACACTGATACTACAAAATATATTAAACTACCGGAACATTTAAAAAAATAATTTTATCTTCATGTAAGGACCAAAATGTTTGTATGCAATGTCTTCTCTACACTTTAACAGAACATAACACCTCAATGTGCAGCACCAACCACCTGATCTATCATATGGCTTGTACGTTGGTGACATTTGATTCATAATTTGTCCCGTTATATCAAACGGATATTGGTTGCAATTGCAACCTGTTGGTAACCTGGTTTGTTTACCTTATGTTATTACAATTACAGTCACGCCGGTACAGGTTTATAGACACATTAGCTGTGCTCTGTACATGTTATTCTGATGTATGCTATATTATTATAAAGTTTCATCAAAATCCGTTCAGTAGTTTTTACTTAGGGTTGTATGTATTTTTTAATAACTAATCATAATAAAATTTTAAAAAATGTTAGAGGTGGACAACCCCTATAGATACCTACAGATAGAAGTATAAAAAATACATAGGTAGTAACAGATTTTCAGAACTACTGAATATGCATATAAAATTTCATAAAAACCGGTCAAACCGTTTCGAAGGAGTTTGTTTGTTTGTTTGTAATTCTTTATTGTACAAAATATTAATAGATACATATGTCTTAAAAATAAATAAATGGTACAATGGCGGACTTATCCCAAAAGAGGGATTTCTTCCAGTCAACCTTTGAGTGACTGAAAGGAATTGTGGAGTGGTGGATACAAGTACAATAAGAAAATACGCGTCGAAAAGCAATATATATAAAATTATAGTACAAGAAATAATAGTCAATCTAATAATAATTTTAATAGAAGCATAAATAATAACAACAAAATATAAATACATAAATACACATAAACATATATACATATACACATACATAAAATAAAGAGAAAATATTATAAATAATTGTAGTATTAAAAGAGCGCAGACTCGGAATGACCCCAGAGCTTGCAAAGGCGCCTTTTAAGGGTGCTAGTCGATGGCGATAATTTAATCTCTGTAGGTAGTGTATTCCACAGTCGGGCAGCTTGAACGGTAAAAGATTTAGTGTACCGGTGACTAGTATGAGAAGGAATTGTGAGTAGTAACTCTTGACAAGAGCGTATATGCTCACCGGTTCGGAACCGGAATCTCTCTTGTAGGTAAGAGGGCGAACAGGGGTTAAAAAGGATTTGGAACAAAAGGGTAAGGGTATGAATATTTCGACGAACACGGATAGGAAGCCAGTCGAGCTGCTCGCGGTAGGCCGAGACATGATCAAACTTACGCAGTCCAAAAATAAATCTGATGCATAGATTTTGGAGTCGTTCCAGCTTGTCCAGTAACTCCTCAGATGGGTCCAGAAAGGCACTATCGGCATAATCCAACAAGGGAAGAAGGAGAGATCGAGCCAGCAACAATTTAGTGCCCAAAGGCAGAAGAAACTGCAGGCGTCTGAGAGAGTGGAGAGATGAAAATAATCTACGGCTGATCTCACCTATGTGAGGCCCCCAAGTTAACGTCTGATCCATTCCCAGATTCTTGACGGTGCCATATGGTTGCCGTCGAAAACAATTTTAGGAACATGCACAGATCGCAAACTAGAGATGAAGTGGTGACTGCCGACAAAAATAGCTTGCGACTTCGCTGCATTGATTAAAAGACCGAAATTTTTAGACCAGGCAGCGATAGTGCATAGATCATCATTAATACAATTGATTGCATGAGCTATATTGTCAACAGGAGCAGCGGCATATAACTGAAGGTCATCGGCATATAAATGAAAAGAAGAGGAGAGAGAAGCCGTGATACTGTTAATGAAAAGAGCGAAAAGAATAGGTGATAATACTGCACCCTGTGGGACACCTGCCCGAACATCAGCCCAGTCTGAGCAGGAATCGTCCACCTTCACCAGCTGACGCCGGCCAAACAGATAAGATCTGAACCAAGAAAGAGCAGGAGATGAAAAATTCAATGAACGGAGGATAGCAAGCATAGGTCAAAATCAACTGAGTTAAAGGCACTAGTGAAGTCGAGTAGAACAAGAACTGTTAAATCTTTATTTTCGATACTATGTCTCATGTCATCAGTGATCTTGACAAGTGCAGTAACAGTGCTGTGAGCATTCCGGAACCCGGATTGGTAGCGACTCAAAAAGTTATTTTTGTCAACAAACTCAGACAGTCGCAGAAGAACAAAGTGTTCAAGAATTTTGGAGAGGAATGGGAGAATAGATATAGAACGAAAGTCGGATATAGAAGCTGGATGGGATGTCTTAGGAAGGGGAATTACGTGACCATCCTTCCATGAAGAAGGAAAGGTGGCGGTGGATAAGGAACAGTTCAGTATGTCCACAATAAGAGGTGCTAGCAAGTTCTTATTAGGATCAATCATATCCAATCCGATACCGTCACTGCCGAGAGCTCTAGACTTGATATATCATCGACAGCCAGAGTGAATGGGTCATCATGTGAATGAGGAAAGCCAGAAAGGGAAGCTAGCGTTTCCTGTTTAATTACGGGATTTAGATTTACAGGAGGAGAAACAAATGACAGGTTGATCTCATTAAGATTGGGAAAGTTGTCACCACACTGACGCTTCCCGATGCCGATAGTACGCAAGTAATTCCAGAGCCTACCGGGAGGGCAGTTTTCAATATTGGAGTGGATATGCCTGCGCCTAGCCTGCCGACACAACTTATTGCACCTATTACGTAAGGTAATATAGCTCTGGCGATCACTGTCGGTAGAACTACGGCGCAACCTGATTTTGGCTCTATCCCGTCTGCTCATGAGAGCTTTCAGATCCATCGTTAGCCACGGGGCAGGACTATGTTTAAGGCGCACTTGTTGTACAGGAGCATGCTTGTCATAAATACTTAGAATCAAGTGTTCAAATGCAGCCACTTTAGAGTCGACATCGCTTGCTGTGAAGATGGGACTCCAGTCTGCAAGACGAAGATCGTTCTGCAAGGCCTCAATGTTTACAGCATCGAAATTGCGACGCAAAACGACCCTATGACGGCGTTTAGGAGTACGGAGTTTAAAGGATGCGTAAATAAGATCATGACTCGAGAAAGCGACAGCACAAAACTGACCGTGGGATTGAACTAGGTCAGGAGAAGATGTAATAATAAGATCAAGAAGGGAGGGTGGGCCGTTGTGTGGAAAGTGAGTAGGAAGGAGAGGGAGTAAAGTAAGATTAAGAGAGTGGAGTAGAGATAGCAGCATTTTCGAACGGCAATCATTTTTGATGAGGCATGTGTTGAAATCACCCATAATAATAAGATGATCAAAATTGGGTCTAAGTTCAGAAATAATGTTATCAAAAGAATCAAAATAATTGACGTGTAAGGATGGGCTATAGTAAACACCCAACAGAACTTTAGTGTGATGTAAAGATATTTTGATAAATAAATGTTCCGGGCCATTAAGATTAGGAGAAGACTGAGATACCACTTCATAAGGAATATCCCAGCGAAGGAAAATAGCCACGCCACCACCTCCAACCATTCTTGAAACATCTCCCCGCTGCATGACGCAGGTTCGATCGTTTCTAATAAGGTTATAGCCTGGAAGGGCATAGAGACAAGAGGGTAATGATGGTTTCAGGAAGGATTCCGAGATCAGAATTGCGTGGACATGATTTGAAGTGAAAGTACATAAAGGTCTGTGTAATGCGCAGGTACGCTTTGTGCATTAATATGAACCACGTTAAAGTTTGTTCCAAGCGAAGAGAATTTCAGATTAAGATTACCTTCCAAGGAAGGCATATCCGGGAAATCATCCTCTGCGCTGGAAAAACTGTGTGTTGAGGAAGAGAGAGAGAAATATTCGTTATCCGATTCGCTATTTAGTGTATGTGACATGACTACAAATATACATATAAAAGTAATAAATATATACAAAAACAAAATATATCAAATTATACAACTAATATAATAAATTCCGCATCAGTCCACTCGCCGGCAGCTGAATAAAGTTAAAAAGGCAAAACCGATCATACATGTATGGATATGAAAAGCATATGAATATAAGAAAAAAGTAAAAAAAAAAAAATCCAATCTAACTACCTACTACAATAGCATTTGTGCAGTGACAAACACTACTAGAATAAATACAACCATTATTAATATTAAAGCAAAAATACTAATATTGAAGAATTAAAATTAAGTGCTCATAAGTGACGATTAGTTTTAATAAAATAGTTAGTATGCTTCCAAGATCGTAAAATTATGTATAGATTATTTAAAGTTGATAAAACATTGTCACTTGTCATTACGGTAAAATAAGATGTAAACAAATTATGACGGCTACAAAAAATAACTCACCAAGTATAGAAACCACATACAAAGAAAATTAACATTACAATTACCCGCAAGTGTGAAAACGCTGCTCAAAAACTTTTTTAAGATGTAGAAAACTACAAATATATAAGTTAAGTTCTACAATTGAGCATTCAAATAAAAATAATAATTATGAAGTATGAAAAACAGTGCCAACAGGTGTTATTAACGACCATGTATTGGCTTGCCCTGGGCACGGGATCTAGTTTGAGGTGGCTTGTTCCCAATTCGTGTATATGAGGCACTCGCAAACTTGGTCTTCGCTCCGTGGCTTCCTGTGATTGACTCCGTCTCACCAAAAAGAGCTTTAATAGAACTGAATTCCTCCATTGTAGTGATCTTCTTGCGTGAGCCATCTGGGCACACCACTATGACTTTGCCATTTCCAGTCCAGCAGCCTTTGATTCCTAGGGTCTTGCGAGCCTCCAAGAACACAGCATGTCGTGTACTTGTTAAAAATTCTGATAGCGTCAAACCACTGCCACGAAGACACTTTTTAGCGGACCAAACTTGAGAACGGTCAGAATAGTTATTAAACCGCACAAGGATTGGTCGGGGTTTGTCTTGTACCTTCTTGCCTAGACGCATGCAGCTACCAAATGATGCCGAAGATATAGTGTTCAGCTGAAGTTTGTGCTTACATAAACTTTGGAGGTATTCTGAGATGTTCTCATCATCTGCCTCGGCTACACCATGAAGCAATAAGATATTAGATCTGGATCTCATTTCAGAATCGTCAAGAGTCATCATGACAAGTTCCATCTGAGCCTTTAAACTTGACACGGTTTTCCAAATAAGACTTTTAAAAGTGTGAAACTCACTTGACAACGATGCAATATCAGTTGATGAGCTGCGGGCATTCAAATCATCTTCAAATGATGCTAGTTTGGTGGAAAACAGCTGAGTGAGGTCGTCCATATTCTTGCGAAGTAGTAGTAGGTGATCCATAGTGAATAGTGATTGTTACTTTTAGAGAATTATAAAGTGAAAATGTGGGTGAAAGAAATATAGCTGCCGGTGTGAACTAATAAACTACTTCATGTGAGTTAATAAATTAATTAATTATAATGTAGAAATTAATTAAAAACAAATAAAATAGGGAGGAGCAAAATTGAATGTGTTGTCACTTTACTACCCACCAAGAAAAAAAAAAAAAAAAAAAAAAAAAAAAAAAAAAAAAAAAAGCAGGAGTATGGTAACTAACATTGTCACGCTACGATTTTATATATAAGATTTCTTTTATGAGTACTGTCTTAAAAGACTAGAGCGATAACGAAAATGTCACATGTTTTTTTATTATCCTTTTTGTACTACGATTGTTTGCGATCGCAAATGGCCATATAATATATTTAAAAATCTTATATATAAAATTCTCGTGTCACAGTTTTCGTTCCCATACTCCTCCGAAACGGCTTGACCGATTCTCATGAAATTTTGTGAGCGTATTGAGTAGGTCTGAGAATCGGCCAACATCTATTTTTCATCCCTCTAAATGTTAGGGGTAGTCCCCCTATTTTTTTTTATTTTAATGCAAAACAACGTTTTCCGGGACAGCTAGTAAAATTATAAAATTCAAATTTCGGACGTCACGCATGGAACATCGATGTTGTTTTGTTTAACTTTATATACATTTCTACACTTTTATATACATTCTAAACATTTTTATTTCAATAATACAACAACTTAAACATTGCAATATTCCTCCAGCAAACAACGATAGTGGAAAACATGTATCTGGCCTATGATGGTAAGTGGTAACTGCAGCGAGTTTACAGTCCGTAGTTTACATACAAAATACAATGACATCAAACCGAAAATTATAACTAATAATACAACTTATAACTATTGAGGTTCTGCAACTTTTAAAAAGAGTACATATATTATTAGACTAGTGACTTGCCCTGACTTATAATGGCTAGTCATAACATTATGAATTTTATAAATAGATATATATAAATATAATACGTAGAATACGTCACTCTAAAATAAGTATTACCTATGAATTTCTCAAACGAGTGAAGTGGTTTCGGAGTTTGATTTTCTTATAACAAATCCACTTAATCTGTTTTTTTTAATTATCAGTTCAGTAGAGGCTGCACGAAATCATACAAACATACATCGATCGTCACAAAGTTTCTCATTAGTACCTAATATTAAGGGTAATCAAAGTGTTTGCGGAAACGCGATATAAGAGGTATGATTATGAGTAATTTACGAGACTAAATAAAAAATGCTTATACCATATTCCGGTAAACACATCTGTTAGAAGTATTTCTTCAGTCACGCAAATTACGAGAAACAGTTAGCTAAATCGTTCACCTCAAATGAGGACAAACATAATGACACTTCGTCAAATATAGTGATAGACAAATAGTTGTAAGGTCACAAGGTTAGAAGGCAGTACAAAAATAGAATTATTTAATAAATGCCGATGTCATTCTTATTCCGACGACATAAGGTTTATATTATATTAAAACGATTTTCAAAAATTTATCATTCATTTTCCTATAATGAAACAAAATGTTTAAGTAAAATTTACGGTTAACAAGTCGGGATATTGTTTAAAAAAATATACAAATTCAGACTTTGAATTTTAAAACCAAAGCTGTACCGCTCAAATTTCTGTGCGCGCAGTTTTTCATTATCATTTTTTGAGGCGAAGGAACACACATGTGCAGCCTGTTGTGAGTCGTTAGTTATATTTTTTTATTTCTGTCATCTCCTTGCACACACAAATTTTGTCAACAATAGTCACAGATGTTTTAGATAACTATTATGCAGACATGTGAACAGCAGTGAAATGTTTTAAAGATGTGTTAAGTCCTCCAATTGGCATTTAGCATGTGCATCTAATCATCATGTGCATTAATGTCGACGGCCTCATTGATCTAGCGGTCCACACTGCTTTACTACTGATGGGCGCGGGTTCGATTCCTCGCACGATACAGACATTTGTTTTCATGAGTATGATTGTTTGTATCGGTTTGGGTGTTTTCCATGTATGTTATGTATGTATTTGTAGAAAATGATTTAAAATTTATATTAGTCGTCTAGTACCCATAACACAAGCTCTGGTTACCGTGGAACTAGATGGCACTGTGTTAATTGTTTAGGGTTATTTATTTAATGTTCAGCCACCATCAATAATCTCTGCACTTCCCGAAAGTTGACTGGTATAGAATGTCCGTCCTGTCATTAAGTCCGTATTTATTAGTCAATAAAGCTTAAATAAATTAAATAAAAAATAAATATAATGCATGTGCATCTAACTACGTGGTTGGAGTACTTTCCTAGTAATAATTAGGTTTTATTTAAACCTAATTATTACTATTTTAGATAGAAATGGTCTGTTCAGTGTCCATAAGGTATTTAACGTGACACTACGACATGCAAAAATAATGTAAATGTGTATCCATTTAATTAAAACATTTGTTATTTAAGATATAAATATATACTGTATTGTTAAATAAATAGGCGTATATATGTTTAAGTTTTATTTATTTGATTCCTAAAATTTAAAAATTTCCATAAGAATTATTGTGTAACATTACATATCTATCTGTAATATTACACACTTAAAATTGTACGGATTTTGATGTCAATTGATTTCTTTCTAGCGAAGTAAAATGTTATTTAAGTATTTAAAAATACTGAAGATCGTCAACGATGCAACTGATATGGACTAATGTAAATTATTTAAAAGAATATCTGCTGTAGGCACCTACTCATTAGTTAATTCACATAAATTAGCGTCATTTTATTTAGGTAATTATTTATCATTCCGCCAACTAAATGATGGTAAGCATGCCGTCAGAATTCATAATGGTTATGTCTCAGCCGTTTTTGGTGGTAATGTGCACGACTTACATGTAACGGCGATTATCTTTGGGCATGCTTCTATTTTTTGGCATAACGCGAACATGTTTGAAGAGTGGGAAAATATTTAATTACTTGACTCAGATGACGCTTTTATTTTAATTTAATATAATTATATCTTCGAGGTTATGTCATTCATATTTTCTGTAGTTATGTTTAATTTTTTTTTATAGACATAATATACTATACCATATAATAAAGGCAATAGGCAATAATATAAAAGACAAGTTTTTCTTACAAATGGAATGGCAAACAAATATTCTGCCAGCAGCAGAAGAAGCATAGTGAGAT